TAATTATTTTATTTAATATCTTGGCACACTTGTGCATGTCTATTAGTATTTGATTACACATGCATGACTTTTTAGCTGTCATCTGTTTCTGAACTGAATTTTATGCTGATAAAGATAAGTAACATAAAAAAGGGACTGGTATTCTTTCAGGTTTGGAGAATCAATCAATTCATAGTGAAAACATTTTTAATTTCTTACATAAGTTACTATGATCTTGATAAGATCAAAATAGATACAAATTAAATTGAGGACATTTAAATTATGCAGTCTTATTCATTTCAGCCAGTCTGTCTAAAATCCGGTCCTATTTTTCAGGCAATAATAAATGAATGAAAATTTCAGAAAAATATACCTTACCTGAGTGAATCAGTCAATATGCATATTGACTGAAATATTCAGTCAAAATAAATATTGGGCCTGATTATAGACACTGACTGTAACATATGTAAGTATAATCTGTTATATGCAAAAACAAATAACATAAATAAATCCATTTATCTACATGGAATGACTGTGGGGTTCAATTTGCATTTATTTAACCATCAGAAGATTTGATGACAAACTTTCATATTCATATTTTCATATAAAATTCATATTTGCTATATGATAATAATATCTACAAAATATACTTTATACTACAGGTGTCTTGAAGTACTGTTGAATGAAAATCAGGATACTTAGATACAGCATGATAGTGTGTTGGTTTGTATGGGAAATAATTTGTCAACATTAAAATAAATATCATGTTACTAAAACAAGAAGATAAAACTATGATTTAGATCTATTTATGCATCATACTCATGTTGTGGGGTAGTCAGTATGATTTGTTGTTTGTTAGGACACATCTCGGTAATTAACTACTATTTTAAGAGCATGAGTATCAGAATTCTGTAAGAAATGATGGATCAACTAATTAACACCTGTTATGACTCAGAGCACTTAATGGTGGGACACGTGTTATAAGGGGCAGAATAATATGGGTAAATCTCTTATTTCAATGTATGATGACTGGTATGTACATGTATATTGCAACTGAGTAACTGAGTGCTTAGATCTAATAGATGCATGGTAGATGTTCATTTGGCCTATTTCTAAAAAAATAATATAAATTCAAATATTCAGATGCAACTTTAATTTTGATATAAAAAGTAACATTTAAAATCAGTTGTTTTATTATTTTGAACTATATTTATTCGTAAAATATTTGTAAAGGCGCGGATGAATACTTACTATATAGATCATTGGTAAAGGCCTGTCAAAGTTGTCTGTGTGCTGCAAATGTTTGCGTATCACTAATTTTATTAAATTGAAGTCCATGGTAGTATTTGTTGAGATTTGAATGCTTGAATTGTTGTGGGAAATAACACAAAGGCTGATAAATAAAATGAGTTTGCATTATTTCATCGATGCAATATGTTCGCCCAGACTGACAGAATGCCTCGCTGTTTTCTGACGTAGAAAATACCGTGGCAATATACCATTTTTCATGACGTTTTTCCCGCTATATTCCAATGTGACAATTCGTCTTGTAGATGAAGACTCAACAAATGTTGATATTATAAACTAATAATCACTACAAAATATGTGCTAGTTAAAAATATTCAGTTGTAAACCACCGTTTTTGAACGCAGGGGTAACAGGATAACTCTTTAGCTTGGCTCCGTCTCTACATGTCAGTAGTTTTCGCAGCGCGCATTGATCCGGGAACCAGACCGGAAGCGACAGTTTGGACCGTCGCTTACATCATTTCAAAAGGAGAGTTATTGCCCTTTGGAACAAAAAGATCGCCCATTGTAATAAAGAAGTTGTTCATCCATAAATTCTTATCCTTACTTAGTACTCCAACTTCTAAATGCCTATCAAAGAGGGTTGTTATAATATTTAAAACCCGCATCCCGAGGGGCTTGCCGCGAGTGATTTTCCGAGGGAAGGGGTTTTAAATACCACTAACAACCCGAGGGGAAGTACTTTATCTAACTTATGAACCGAAAAAAGAAACTTAAAACAACATTTATCAACATTTTTATTTATGAACATTAGGAAACGGGCGTAAAATATCTGTTGCTGGCATACGGACCTTGAAAAGGACATCCTAAAAACATTGTGATGTATCAGCGCCTCTGAAGCCTTGTGGTACACTCACTGGGCTACAAATACGAAGGTTGCGTGTTCGATCCTCGGGAATATAAAGAAAATATTTGTCATTTGATTTTAAATTTCATTACATGTTACAATCTGGACAGAAGTTGTATAAATAAAATACCCAGGACATTATATAAAATCCATTGGATATTATAACACATTATATAGCAAATATGACTTGAATATCCTATAAAATCCCGGGGACATTACAGAGTCCCTGTTTATGAGATTTAACCCGACCAGAGAACAATAGAATCACGTCACTGGAGGCTTATAAAGTATATCAATGAACCCTGTGCAGTCTTCCCTTTATCTTTGGGGTCTGGTAGGCTTTCGAAATGCTGGAGAAGTAAGAATATTAAATCTAAAGAATACTATTTCTCTGCATACCTAAAATAACTCAAAACACGCCAAATCCTCAAACCTTTAATATCACAACCAAATATTAAAGACGTTGGATACCATTGTTCATGCGGATACCGGACGCGCATGTAACGGCGAGTATTTGTAATGCGGTTACCTCCCTTTGACTCGCGGCTAATTGTACTTCCGCCAAAATAAACTCATAGAAATGTAAATTTGGACAAGAGTTACCTCCCCTGATTCATTATTTTAGGGGTATGCTGTGTTGATTGAAAATAATTTGAATATCCTTTGGTAACATGTTGTTTTTATTTTATAATTATATTTAACAATGAATAAACATTAGAAATAAGCCAGCTTGAAAAATATCTTGATTTTGTAAAATGCTTTTTTGACTGATGTATCCATTCTTTTGGAAAATGTGCTTTTTTTTTAGTCAAATGATGTGTGAAATTAAAAATGTTTTGACTTGAATTTTCATTTTTCTGTTTTGTGCCATATCAATACTGTAATATGTCTATTTAAAAAACATTCATTTAATAATCAAACTTTAAAATGACCATTTTATTGGCAAAATGATTTTATCATCCGGTGCCTCTAGATGGCGCCACTTATTCAAAAAATGCCGTGGTGACTATGATTCAGGACATATTTTTCTTCAAAATGATACCAAATATACCCATTTCTTCATTTTTTTGTTTTTTGTATGCAACCTCTTCAATTAATGTTTTAGATTTTAAAACGTTTATTCATCGAGTGCTACCGTGGGCCTAGGAGTGAGTGAATAAACGTCACATCGGTAATATTACAGCCATATCGTGACGAGATAAAGTCAAACATTGGATTACAAAGAAATTACTATTTGTTAAATACCTGTCGCCAAATGACAGTACAATAACTAGAATATCACATATTTTAGTTAAAACTAGTTTGAGAGTATATGAAAGAATAAACTACAATTCAACAACACAATATAAAAACGGGATATAGATCGCCAGCAACCAAAGTAAGGCCAACACAATGGGGACCGAGGGGACTTACAATGCTTCTGCTACGAGTGAGCCTAGGAGATGCGGGTGTATGGATTGATTTTGCTCAGTCTAATCAAAATGGAGAAGATAGAGAAGGGAACTGTTCCGTTAATACTTCCAGAAATCCCAGAAGAAATACAATTCGGTTACTATAGGATTTACCTAATGTTGACAGTGACAGCAACGGTCCACTGTTATCTGAAGCTCGTGGTTCAGGCGGCGAGTTTGCACCACCCGACGTCTGAGAACAATCAGTATTCATCAATGAATACTAGAAATGTCGAAGTACATTCTGATCGTGATGGACGTGCAGTTTTACTGGAAGGAACGGTAATAGATGGATGACATCGCCACCATGCCCCGTATACCTGAAGGTCATATCATGTATGGTCTTCTTCAAAAAGTCATTCATGAAGACCACACTGTACATGAGGCAACCATTGTGGGGATTAAGGGTTAGAATATGACCCCAGAAATCTATGCTGAGGCGACTACATTGATCGGGTGGGCAGGCACGGTGACTTGCTTGGTTGCTGTCATAGTACCACGACGGAGTGGATCGTCTCACACAATATCGACCACTGGGTTGTCTAGTCCAAACTTGATTATCTACAGGCCACCGGTATATAGCTAAGTATGGCGTTAAAAAAGCAACAAACAAACAAAGAACATATATGTATATTCAAACTCTTTCCCAGCACCATGCAAAATAAGATAACACTATTGATTCTCAGAAGAGAAAGCTTTAATTTGTACTGGACTACAGTAAGACAAGTGGGGGAATGAAACAGATGTCTCATAGTTCAAACTGTTACAAGCAAGGGTGAGTGAGTGAGTTGGGCTTAACGCCGCTTTTAACAGTATTCCAGTTATATCGCGGCGTGTCAGCTTAATGTGGGAGGAAAGGCCGAAGTGATGCAGGTCTTAGACGTTTACCACTTCGGTGAAACCCACGAGCACGGGTATGGTGCTGACAAACCTAGAAACATAATTTGGGCGAACCGGGATTCGAACCCACAATCATAGGTTTCTGGCGTGCGCAAGGGACGTAACTCTGCACAGCGAATCGCGGCGCCTTAGACGACTGGGCCCCCTCGTGCCCCCGTTTCAAGCAAGACTAATAGGTGGCACATAATAATATTTATGAACATGCTAAACATTGTGGGCATAGCATCTTTCACCGCCTGAAAAATGAAGTTCTCCGACTGGATGAGATCTTCATACTGTGGAAGCAAGCTGAAACGGTTATTCTGTCACTCCCTCCCTCGAAAGCTCCAAATTCACACATATTATTTTCTACCAAACACGGGTGTTACAGTGAGCACCTCAACTTCCAAGAAAACTTCGTAGATGCTGCATCTGCAACACAAGGAAACACCTGAAATACAACAAACATATACGAGGGGATATCAAAAAGTTTTGAGCCTCACACAGAAAAAGTAAAAGAATTGGATTGTTACTACTTTATTTTTCAACATAGTCCCCTCCCAACTCCACACACTTGTTCCACCTAGTTTGCCAGTCACTGATGCCCGATCGGTAGAAGTCAACATTCTGGTCCCCTAACCAACCCTCCACAGCAACAGTTAGCTCATTGTCATCTTCAAATCTCCGGCCCCGGAGGTTTTTTTTCAGCCTGGGAAAGAGGTGGAAGTCACTGGGGAGTTCGTAGCCACATTCTTGCACAGCTGTCATTGCAACATGGCTCGTGTGGACTGGTGTGTTGTCCTGGTGAAGCAGAATCCCACGACGGATTTTTCCACGGCGTTTCACCTTAATGGATTGGCGCACCTGCTTCAATAACTTGGCGTAATACTCCCCATTCATTATGGTGCCATGGGGCAGGTAGTCGATGTGAATCACTCCTTTGCTGTCCCAGAAGATGGTCATCAAAACCTTCTTGGTGGATCTGGTGGCTTTGAACTTCTTTGTCTTTGGAGAAGTGGCGTGTTTCCATTCCATCGACTCTCCATTTGTTCTCCGAATCATAATGATAAATCCAGGTTTCATCACTGGTTACAATCCTAAAATGAAAATCATCTGGGTTGGCGTTGTACCGAGTTAACAAGGCTCCACTGATGGTAATAGCTTCATGTCATCTGTAAGCATTCTCGGGACCCATCTGGCACACACTTTGGACATGTGGAGTTTGCAATGAATTATATCATGTATGGATCCATATGATAGGTTTGTTGTTTCTTCTAGCTCATGGAGAGTAATACGGCGGTTTTCCATCACTAGTTTGTGTACAGTGTCAATGTTTTCAGGGCTGGTACTGGTTGATGGCCGTCCGGACCGGGCATCATCTTCTAAGCTCTCTCTGCCACGCTGAAATTCCTTCACCCACCGTTTGATAGTTGCAGACGATGGGGAAGACTCTCTATAAACTGCAGTCAATCGCTCTTCCACCTGTTTGGCAGATTGACCCTCTAGGACAAGAAACTTTATCACCGCTCTGTACTCAGATTTGTCCATTTTGCCAATTCACTAGGGGTAGGTCTCTTCCACGAAGTGTTGTGACAAAATAATTGCAGCCAGCAATATGTTTCTACATAGCATCAGTAGCTAAGACATTCATGTACATCAGGTGTAGCGCATTGTACCATTCGACCAGGAATACTGTGTGAGGCTCAAAACTTTTTGATATCCCCTCGTACATGCTTTATTGACTAAAGATTTCATCTTTGTATTTGCAACAAATACTCTTTGTCCATTGTTATACTTATGGGACAGTTTGAGTCGATGGAATTGTCAATCCAGTTTAGGTAAGTGAGGTGTGAGTAATTGTTGTTTTACTTGTTTCTTTAATCTTATGAACCGTGTAATTAACCATTCAGAAACACGCCGTTATTTAATTTCTTGTATCAGAGAATTTTCGCAATCATATCGCTTTCTTAATGATTGGAAACAGATTTAAGTCTGACGGAGCCAGGTGGGTGCTGAAAGAGTTCGAAGCCACACAGCTCCATGATGATACCCTCTGCATCCCACGGCCATAACATTGTTGTATATGGTGCGTGTTTGATCAGATGTCAATACCTTTGGAACACAAATATCTGATACTTTCTTCATTGTCAAAGCTTCTGAAATAAGGGATTGAACCCTCTCCTGGGAAATGCCGACTCAACTAGCAATATCATGCACAGTCATTTGCCAGTCGGTCATCACCACGTCATGGATTATGTGGATCATTTCTGGTGTTGCTGACGGGACAGGCCTTTCACGACGGGGTTCCTCTTTTAGGCTCTCTCTAATGTTGTCAACAACTGTTCTTGACTCGATCGGGGATCTCACCCAGTCGGGTTGGACTCAACCTATATATGATGGACTTGATTTCCCATTCCGCCATGTTGTTCAGTGCTGGGTAACGTAGAATCTTCTGATCCTGGCACGCTCGCCAAATGTTACCCAGGTCACAATCGCTCAGATTGACAACTGAAAACAACAAAGAATTTGGGTCACATCAGTTTATGTTTAATAACACATGGCTGACCAAGATACATCATGTTTATGCTTCAAGTTTTCAACTTGGTGTGGCGCAAGGATAAAATACCAACACTCATTACTATACTAGGCATACAATAAAGTATTATAATACCCAACTAGTTCATGGTTCCTTATATTTTCAATGTCAACATTAGATGACAAGACCCATCAACACGACTTGCAATGGAACTAGTTGATATTAATATCAACTTTCAAGAAACCATAAAAGATAAATCCATGCATTAACGGTAACCATAACACCAATAAGATGCTAATTTTCCATACTGTATTACAACATTGCATTAATCATTAAATACTCTATAAAAGTGAACTAATTATATATTTGGCATATGTTCTGTGTGAAAATAATACCTTCATGAATTATACTCCCATTAGTTTGTTATTACAAATGAAAACTAAAAAATTACACAGATTATATTATAAATGAGTATTGTGAAGTGTCGTAAAATCAATGTGTAAACAAGACAACAAGAATTACCTCCCTTTAACTGAGACAGATGCTATGCCATGAAATGGGATGTGCTGTAACTTATATTGGTTCAGCTCAATTAGGATGTTTTAATGCAGAAAAGTTATATTTACAATGATTATGCTATATGCTTGAAGTGTGTTATTACAAAATATACAACGAAAGTATGCTAAACGATGTACATGAAAATGTGGGAGGTCACGTGACCTCAAATATGAACGATCAGCGAGGTGTTGACAAATAGTGCTTTTTATCCTAACTTTTGCTTGAAAACATTGCCTGAGGAGAGTGTGTACATGTTTGACAGCGATGCACATCATATATATCTGTGTGAGTACTAAAATGACAAATGACCTTGACTGTCCTTCGCTACCATGTCGTCCGTGAACACTGACTGGGCGCAGCGTTATCTTTAAAGGGGCACTGATCACAGGAGTCCGTATCTAAAAATAGACGCCCTCATGCATATTCATGACCATTTTTAGATACGGACTCCTGTGCACTGATCTAACGCAATTCCCCGGACTGGTTGTTGCCTTTGTTATTGTTTTTTCCCCCGTGAGTACCCGGATGATACGCAACGCAACTGAGCGTGACCAGAGACTGGGCTACCGTCTGCAAGGACAGCTAAATAAACTTGGAGGCTGGAGGCAATATTTCTTTTACGCATTTTTGCATAAACACTGATTGGTTAACTGTGATCTATAAAGATTTCGACAAAGGGCGCATGTTAATTAATTTCTTCAGCCTAAACAAACAGACAAAAAGAACAGCGGAGCTCATCGGATGTCGTCATTTGGAAATACCCCAGATGGTTATAGTTTAATACTAAAAAAAGTATCCACGCAAGGAAAGCATTTTCGGATTTCGGCTTGCGTCGATAATACGATTACTACTCCCTTGTTGTCATCCACGTTTTCTCGTATAACCCTACACTTGTGTATTTGTCGTAATTCACTTGATGCTCAGTTAATGAATTTATTACAGGTACAATTAGTGGTAGCGCCACTTAGATTACCTGACAAAAGTTCCCATTTGGCATTTATTGTGTCTGGGGTAATTATTCAATCTAAATACAGGTTTGAAGTGAGTTGAAATGTGTGTTATGTAATATGCACGTGGCAGCCCAGCAAGAGATGAATGATCAGTTGATTTACTTTTTTTTGAAAATCAACGGATCGTTCCTAGTCATCAAAGGATTAACAGAAAATACGTTGATTGATTAATCACTGTTATCTTGCACAGTGAATATGTCAAGAGTGAGTGTTTACAGGTCTAGGTTTACTAAAACAAAGGGAATACACTCATATCATGGCGTGAAGTGCCGATGTAAAAACAACATACTCTGTTCAAAGGGTTAACTGATAATACGTTGATTGATTGATCCTTGTTATCTATCACTCAATGGATTTTTTAGGAACCGTGGACGTTAGTTGTCATGTGCGCTTTCTCAGCCGTCCATTGAGACTTGACACCTATGTAAAACACCTGAAACAATCCAAGTGATCAGTTGAGAAACGAACACTGGTTATAATATCCCGAAACGATATATATCTTTTAAAATATCATTTTTGATTGTACTGAGACACGTGACATCGAATAAGTTTCTTTGTACAGCTACAGACAAGTGGGATATTGTTGCTTTGTGTGGATATTCACGGATACATTCCTCGAACAAGGAAGCTACCTAAAATTTAAACACATAAATTTGGTAGGTTGTAATTATGAAATTTGCATTTTGTTTTCCTTCATTTGAACGGATTCGTTCTTGTTTCTCTACGTCTTGGTTGGGAAATTCTTCAATGCGCGATAGACGTTGTTTTCACAGGTCTTTTCCTTTGTAAGCGTGTATATATTACCGTAAATTTGTGAAATGTGATTCTCTCAGGCAATTTATAAAATGTGTAAATATTTCAGTCATTTTGACTAACAAATCTGCCCAGATTGATTAAGACGATCAAAAGGGCCTACACACATCACAACAGATTATTATGTAGGATTAGAAGCCAAACAACATAGAAATGTACTTTTCAACGTAACATTTTCAGTCTCTTGGTGATGACATTAAACATCAAAATGTTTGGAATTCGTTATCATAAAAATACAGATGGAAATGTTTTTCAGTCACTTTGTAAAATAACTGAATATTTAGACGTTTAATAAATTTGTTACACATTTGACAGTAAACAAAATATACACACTGTAAAAAAAGCAATGCTCAGGTGAAATATTTACTTTGTGTTGCAAGTCAAAATAGTGTAAACGAAAATCGCAAAATTACCAAGCAAGTGACTTATCAAAACTTCGTCACCATTACCGACGCTACCCACAAAGATACCTACATTTCCTTATTATCTCGAAAACTGTATTTCATTTTGTTGATCAATGTGACCATACGCCCTTATTACTACCCATAAAAGTGACTAATGCGCTTAAGAATGGCGCAGCAGAGGTCGCGAACTAGTCTAGATTTCTGCTATACATCCGGGTACTCACTGGGAAAAAACAATAACAAAGGCAACAACCAGTCCCGGGGAATTGCGTTAGATTAGTGCCCCTTTAAGCAAGTAATTATCTAATTACAACATTAGCTATATAGCCAAATATGGTTATTTCAACTCTACATGTTCTTATCTGCATAATTACATATGTTGTGGTCTTATCTCGACCGTTTATTATCATACATACCTGAAAACAACAAAGAATTTGGGTCACATCAGTTTATGTTTCATAAAACATGGCTGACAAAGATACATCAGCGAATGACGTAAGCGCATTCAATTTGACAGTGCACTAAGCGGCACTGAGGACTGACAGAGTGATTTCCCTTAGACCGTGGACAAGACACTCAACATGTATTTACTTACACCCTTGAAAACACGGAATATATTACTAAGGGGATGCAAAATGTAACTGAATGCACTTACAATGGGTGAAAAGTACTACATAAAACACCTGCCTACCTCTTTATGGTGGCATCGGAAGGGGCATCCTGCCCTTGTGTTGTACTCAC